GTGCATGCATGCACGCAGCTTGAAAACGTCCCCAAATAGTAAGGCATAGAGCCAGGGCAGGGCTGGTGGAGAGGCACCTGCAATTTCCACTACCGGTTCTAAACCGGCTGAATACCACCTCTGGTGATGCATCAGGCCCACAGGCCACGAATTTGACACCCCTATTCTAGGCTGAATCTCCTGTTTATCCAGGAGTATTTGCAGGGTATGGTAGAAAAAGAAAATCAAGATGGTTGACACCCTTATGCTCATTCTTCTACACCGCTTTAACAAGTTGGCTATAAAAACATCCCTGAGAAAAATAGCTGAAATTGGAGAAGAAGAATAGAATAGAATAGAATTTTATTATTTGTATGCCGCCCTTCTCCGGGAGGACTCAGGGCGGCGAACAATTCAAGGGGGAAAAAGGGGAACACAAAAAGGAACTTATCATGTTCAAAAAGTAATCCATGGCACTTCCTAAAAACCAGGCATGTTTTCCCCATGACTGTGTGTCAACGCAGCATTTATACAAAGCAGTCACATGGGAAAGACAGTACTCATTGGCAACTAGGGTGCCACTCCACACTCCTGTGTACTCCAACCCTTAATAATTGGGACATGCTTGCTCTCTGCTACACCAGGAGCATCTTCAGGAAGGAATCAGAAAGTCAGGATGGCAGCTACCATGGCCCAATGCACACCCTTAAAAATTGAGTTGTGGCTTTGGTTATGTAGTTGCAACCCTTGATTTTTGACCTTCCCTGGATGTTTCTGCTGCTCAGGTGGGAGCCCTTTCTCCCGAAAACAGTGGATGGAAATGCATTCCTGGAGTTGTAAAGAAACCCCTGGTTAACTCAAACCTTTACCTATGAAGTCCACAGACTTGTCCAGCCAAGGAAAGATTTTCTCACAGAAGCTATCATTCACCGGCACCCTTAAGAAGTGGGACTCTGGGATGAAGTCAGGTTTAGGACAGGTATTGCTGGCATTTAACACGTAGCCAATCTCATTCTGTTGCATGAGCTCCTGTGAAAAGAAGTCGTATTTATACATAACGTTGATTTCCACATGGCTCACATCCCTACTCTCCCCTGATGGGAAATTTTATGCCTTTCCAAAACAATGCCTGCCCAGTTTAATAAATCCAATTTTCTACGTTTTAAAAGATCTTTAGCTTTTCTCCCCTTGGCTCCTTTCTTTGGGGTCTAGGATTTTTTTTCTCTATGTTGTTTGCTGCTGTAAGAAATAGTTCTAAGAGTCTCTTTTCCTGGATTTTCCTCTTTCTTTTTTTCTTTTAAAGTTATGGTCTAAGTAAAAAAATAATCTTATCACCCAGCTCCAGTCACTGTTCATTTACACTGCTCCTGCACATTCTTTTGTTGTCTCGGCTGTCCCAGCTTCATGGCAGCCATGATGGCTGATTCTTTTCCTCATTGTAGGTGAGAGGGAAGAAGCCCTGGATCAAGCAGGAGAGTTGCTGCTCTCTGAGACCTGCAGGGCACCACTCTTTTCTTCACCAACCCTTCAGGGTGGCTTTAGCTCCTTTTGGAGCCCTCCGACAGGGAGAACTCAGTGTGGGAGCACGGAGACCCGCCTCTCATCTCCGATCTTGCCGCAACATCAGCCGGAGGTACCTAACTGCCCCCTTCTTAAAGCCTTCCAAAAAGACAATCTGAGTTAGGGCCAAATGAACATGGAAAGAGTAGGGGGAGATAATTCCTAAGGGCAGCATCACTGATAGGATTAGCAGGTCATACAAAATTATACTGTCACCATCCAAAGTGTGTTCACCTTTCTCGAGTGAGTGGGGCAACACATCCTACATGGTCCAGTGCTGTATCTCTTTTTTGAGCTTTCATTATCTATAACAGAGGTGTTAAACTCAAGGTCCGCGGGTCAGATCCAGCCCAAGTGGTGCTTAAATCTGGCCGGCGGGGCTGGCGTGGAAATAACAAAATAACAAAAGACCAGCCCATGGTGCCTCTAGGAACCAAAACCCTCATGCAGTCCCCCGTACCTTGTTTTGGCCAGCAAAGTGCTACAGGAGGTCATCCAAGGTGAAAATGGGGCATGGGGGGGAGGCTTGTATTCCCCCGTGCCTCATTTTGGCTGGTAGGGTGCTACAAGAGGCGACTGCCCCATCCCATCTCCCCCTCCCCTACCAGCCCATGGAGGAGAACTACAATGCTGATATGACCCTTGATGAAATCCAGTTTGACACCCCTGATCTATAATCATGGATAATCAATTTAGAGCCCTTAGGAAGCCTTGCCCTGCCCTGTTTGCTATGGGGCTCCAGTGCCCCATGATCTTCCCCTTCCAATCTCATTTCCTGCCTACCTTGTTGAGGACGTCTCTTTGACACCCCAGATACAGGTGGGGGAGAATCCGGGTGGGGCCCGTGTTGGAAACCGGTAAGCAAGGCTGAGAAATGCAGGAAGGCACCAGGATAGATTTCCCTTCGCAAAGGCCCGGGAAACAGTTGGAAAATTCAGTAAATCCACCTGAAAGAAAGAAAGTGTGCAGGTTTCCAATTTTCGTTCCAAATAATAGCAGCAACATCCACCTCAAATCACTTCCCTAATTTGCTAATGAATTTCGGTGTGGCTTCAGTGTTCTCCAACACATTTTTTTTGCTTTTATCTTCAGAGCAGCTGAAAAAGTGAAACACATAGGATTCGTTCTCCAGAGAATCACTTCCACATCAAGAAAGAGCAAAATCTTCCCAACCACAAATAAAAGTCCTTGCTACTTCAACAAGAACTTCTTGAAAAGTCCTTCTGACTACAAAATTCACTGCTTCACACAACTCAAGGAGACTTTGGTTCTCTCCTCCTTTTGACAGTTTGTCTCTCAACAATCAGCTTCCCAAATCCTTCACAACTGTGCAACATGTTTTTGATATGCAATAGCAGTAGTACCACTTCACAGTGCTTTATGGCCCTCTCTATACAGTTTACAGAGTCAGCTTATTGGCTCCAACAATCTGGGTCCTCATTTTACCCACCTCAGGAGGATGGAAGGCTGAATCAATCTTGAGCCTGGTGAGATTCGAACTGCCAAATTGCAGGCAGCCAGCAGAAGTAGCGTATAGTACTGCCCCTAACCACTGTGCCACCACAGCTTAATAATATGCACATTGCAAGTTCCATTCATCAACAGAACTAGTATTCAGTCCTGTCAATTCTATTATGATGTCACTAGGCATATGACACACGTTATGTACATTTTTGGTGACCACAATGTTATTATCGCTTATTCCTTGCATCTATGGTATGCATGACTATGTAGAGTTATTTCTTTGTGCCCCAATTTTCTTACATTTAAGAAGTCTACTGGGAACCAGCTCAGACTTAGAGGCAAACATTTACAAAACAAGTATGAGACTGACAGCCTTGAACTACTATTCCAGTGTTGGCAAACCTTTTCGGCACTGAGTGCTGAAATGGGGGTGCATGCGTGTGCAAGAAACCGGGAGAACAGCCGCCTAGTGCGCATGCACGTGCTGGAAAGATGATCTCCCAGTTTCTAGCGTGCATGCATATGCGAAGACCAGCTGGGCGGTGCGCATGTACATGCTGGAAACTGAAAGATCATCTTCCTGGCGCGCACATGTGCACCAGGCGGCTGCTTTTCCAGTTTACGACGCTCCCACGCATGTGAAAACCAGCTGGCCGGCGCGCCAGAACCTGGAAGAGCAACGGGCGACGGCTTGAGTGCCTGGAGAGATGGCTCTGTGTGCCACTTCCGGTACCCATGCCACAGGTTCACCATCACAGTGCTATTCAAATGTATGAGGTAGAAAATAAAGAAAGGAAGAATGATTGAAACAACGGGTTCTTTCTAATATAACAGAACGGTCAAGCCTGCTCTTCCTCCTTCCCCCCTTCTCAAATCATATTTTAAAATTCGCATTCAGTCACTTGTTAGCTGAAATATTATACCAGCATGAATGTAGGCGGTAGCAAACTTTAGCCCAAAATTTATAGGGAGAGAGAGCGCAGCCATGAAATAAAAAGATGTTTCCTATTTAAGACAAAGGCTTTGGCAGATGCAGACAAAATATGGATGTGCAAAAAGCAGCACACTGATAAGCAAAGATCCATCTTATCAAGGCCTTGGTCCTCCCTGTGATAGTGCACGGGGCTGAGTCAAAAACAAATGATTGTTAATTGTGATGCTGGAGAATACTACTGAGAAGACATTAGAATGGCCAAGAACAAATAATAGATAAAATAAATGTAGATAGCTCACCAGAAGCACCAAAGCAAAACTCATTCTTACACGTTTTGAACATATGAAGTCAAGGCAAGAGACCTACCCAGTGCTTGGAAAAATTGAAAACAATTTGTATTGTATTGTATTTTATTATTTGTATGCCGCCCTTCTCCGGGAGGACTCAGGGCGGCGAACAATTCAAGGGGGAAAAAAA